GTGGATGGGTCCAACAAGGCCCATTTCCCAAGGACAGCTGCTGGTCAGCCTCTAACATGGTTTCTGTAGTGGACGACTTGGGCAGTACGAGCCAGCAGACATCTTGGGCAACCACCCCAGTAGTGATTTAGAGAGTGAGGTAGAGTGGACAGAACTTTATATAGCACAAACATCACAGTACATGCTGATGCTCGCAGACACATGTGAAGTTTGTCAGGAGTGTTCAGTTGTATTGTCAGATCTTAAATGTGTCTTTTCTACCTTGATGTGCTGAATTCCTCCCATGTTCATCCAGGCCTGTGATTGGTCCGGTTTGAGCTCAACAGCAAGCTTGTAACTCTGGTGATAGAGAAGAGGACTCAGTTATCTCTGTGGGCAAATCTCAGGTAAACACAAGCTGCAAGGTTTGTACCTGGTTGCTTCAGTTGCTTTCTGAAAATTACTCAAAGGCTCAAATTTACCAACTGATAGCAGCAGCTACAACTCTGGGTTTTCCATTCACAACATTTTTAACAGCAGTGGGACCCGACTGAATATGTCTTGATGCATGCTCAATCATCCAGGTAAGTAAATCCCAAACGGTTGATTCTGTTCATCTAGACCGTCCAGATGAACAGAGTCGACCAGACTTAATAGTGAGTTGGTCAGCTGGTGTAGGCTGCGGTTATACCAGAGCCACATAACCCACAGCAACACATCCTAAAGGTTCACTACTGGGTTCAGATCTGGAGAGTTGGGCTCCTGAACGTCTCTGAACTCAATTTGTAAGATCTGACCATTCAAAAAAGACAAATTTTGATGGAGCGCTGTAATCAAATCTCTGCCATTGGTTCCAATAACTTATTGAGTCCAGTTTGACTCCATGACATTATCTGGCTAGAAGAGACCTTTAGAGACGGTCATGAAGGGATCCATATGGTCAGAAACAACACTAAACATCAGTCAGGAAGACAAACACGTTTTAACTATAATTTGCGACATATCACATGATGCCAACCTTTATACCATTTTATAAAGTGTTGTTGTATTTAGGTGATTATGTTTCAGCTCGGCAGCATCCTGGAGATCCTGTGCCTTCAATTCAATTCAATTTATTTATACAGATCACAACAACAGTCGCCTCAAAGCGCTTTATA